GTAATGTTTATGTTTATGTTTATTTTTTTTTTAAATTAGATTCGTAATCGAAATTGAGTACGGTTAGAAGAAGAAATTACTCCAAGAAAGTTTCAATTTTGATAGAAGTTAAATTTCGCGTATCTTTTTGTCATCTTTTGTAATTAAAGTTGAGAATCAGAATAAGGATATATATGCATGAATCACGAGGATTGAAAGTATTAATATTAATTGCGATCGAATTTGCATTTCATTATCGTATGAATGAAGCGAGGGAAAGAAGCGAGATCAAAGTGAGATAACGTTAGACAATGATAAACTCGGATTTATCGTCTTACAATCGTTACGCAATACTTGTAGCACTTCGTTTCGAGCTTTACAGGTTTCCTTGATACAAGTATCCCTTCTTTTTTTCTCCCTTTAAGTATCGTGCTTCCCTGTAACAGAAAACCGTCGCCCTTGTCCCGATCTTCGGCATTCCAATTTTTTTTCTTCTTTCGATACGAAAAAAAAAAAGAACAAATCGCGAACGAAGAATAAAATTTTCAAGTGCAACATCAATTTACGGATATCTTCTTCGATGATTGTTACATTTGGACATGCTTCCACGTTCTAAGATCGCATTTCCTTTTCGGACAATGCACCGGAAGTGTCGACCAGGCCACTGTCCTCCAGATATCGCGTTAATCTCACCTCAAACTTTGTCGCATATTCAACAACCGAAACGATTTCCTTCCATCGCGACGTTACGATCGAATCTTCCTTTTTTTTTTTTCTTTTAATAATCCACAATAATCGAAACATCGATCAAAAATAATTCCAAGATTAATTAATAACGGAATAATTGATCGACGCGACAAATCGAGAAACAATTTGTTTCAATCGTAACCATCGACAGATTTTTTTTTCTTCCTCCTTCTTCTTCTTCTCTTCCTCCTCCCTCCCCCTCCACCCAACGATTCAGGCACGAGGTTTGAATAATCTCGTTTCGTGAACGAGGCGTGCAGAGGCGGCGGAAAAATGAGACGAAAGGGGTGAAAGCTGCGTGACAAGACTAGAAGTGGAGGTGTCTTTTTTACCCGGGGAGGAAGCACTTTGTCCTCGAAAATAATGAGATGTGTGTCTAGCGGACCTTGGAAAAGCGAACCAAAGGGAAAAAAAAAAAAAAGAAAAAAAGAAGAAAAGAAAAGAAAAGAAAAAAACACGAGACGAACTCGAGTTACGAATCATCTGGATCCCCTTGAATACACTTTTTATTCTTCCTTCCTTTTCCACGTTCCTCGCGATCTCTCACAATGGTGTTTCGTTACCGTCTCGAATTTCTTCTCTACCTCTTTCTTTTTAATAAAAATTTGCATTATTTTGTATTCGGCCTTGCTTCCAACAATGTTGTTTTTCAACATACCAGCCAGGGAAAATTTCCCGCCCGTTGATAAATCGATACGAAGGAAGTAGGAATTATTATTCGACGAGATGAAAATATTCCAGTTGTACCAATATTTACCGTATAAGGGAGGCTAATGGATTTCTTCATTACAGTAATAGCGAACCCCTCCTTTCGGATTATCGGAAGGAAGTGAAAAGCGGCTCGGCTGGCTCGATTTAAAAACCGCCTCATTTTCGATGCTTCTTTCTTTCTTCGATAGAACCGCCGATTCTATCGATTGGAACCGGAAATATCCCTTAGATTAGAAATAATTTTTATCTTGGAAATGTTTATCCTTCTTTTTAATAAAAAAAAAAAAAAATTTCCATTCGACCATTTGTAATTAGATCGTTTTCTAAATCGTTTACACGTTGGAAACGTTGGATGGATCATTTTTCGCCCACGTGGCTGGATTTAAATCCTCCGTTGCGAACCGGAAATCGACCGAGCACGGGAGGTTTCTCGTATTACAAAGCTCGGCTGGCTACGTTGCGTCGAGTCAAGTGCCGCAAAAATTTCCATCCGAAATATCCGAATAATCGGATAATATTTCGCGATTCGAGGATAGAAATTTAATTATCGACGAGGAAAAGAAAAGAATCATTTCGTTATTTATTCGAAACGAATAATTTTCCATCTGATATCTAGAATTTTCGTCTCGTTTTTGATTCGTATTTTCATTTGGTTTTAACGCAAAAATATCCCGAGAGTCGAGAATAGCGAGGAGCGCGGGTCAAAGAACTCGGTTTAGAGGAAAACCCTTTGAATAATTAAAGAAGGGCATTACAGTCAGGTGAGCGCTCGTTGCACCGGTGCAACAGACTCACTGTCGTCCACGGTTTCGATCGATTTCCCAGTCATTGACCTCCACAACGATTATGCTAATGCCTTGTCGTAGGTTTCTATCTGTGATACTTTGCGATCGCTTTTTTTTTTTTTTTCTTCCTTTGTATTCTGTAACATTAAAATTCGTGTCTTTCGTGACGTAACACGTGCTTTCGCTTAAAAATTCTCGCTCCTTCCTACGAAGGAAAAGTTGGAAGATCACACGCTTATTCACCACACGTTTCAACCACTTTTTCCTTCGCATGTTTCGGCTAGCCGTGTCGTCGTAACTTTCCAGATAATGGATATTTGTATCGCCAGTTGTTCTCTTTTTTTCTTCCTTCTTTTTTTTTTTTTTTCTCCCCCTCTGTACTTTTGCCTGCCCCTCATCCTTGCAACTTTCGAAAACCCGGCTCGTCCGATAAAGTGGCGCAGCTTGAAAGGGGGCCGGTGTGTAATCTGTTAAGTAAAACCGCAATGAAATTATCTTTCACCGACGAGAGGAAGCCGAGTAAACTCGAAACAAGTTCATTTTTCGTTCGTGCTCGCCTGGATAAAATCCATCCTGCGGAAGAGTTTTCATTTACAAAGTACTATCTATCGAATCGGTAGTAATAATAACGAATAAATCAAAGCCGATATATATTCTCGTCGAAGGTAAACTTCTCGGCAAACGAGGAAAAGGATAAAAATTAAAAAAAAAAAAAAAAAAATTAAAACCAATAAATTGTTACAAAAATCACTCAATGCAAATTTTTTTTAAACGTATAAAACGCATTTGCTCGGTATTTTAGAATTTGTACCCGATGCATTCGTCGCGTTCGTTGCAACCACACGTTGAATGGAAAGATCGGCCGACCATTCCATCAGGAACGATTGGAAGAACAAGCACTTCCCTGCGACCCCCTGCTTCAAACTTGCATATAAAAGCGTTAACGAGGCGATCTTTCTGCTCTCTATTATAACTCGCTATCACCGACTAGCTCTAGCTCTCCCACAGTTCGTAGAATTGAATCGCAGTAGCGGCCTCCGTTTAATTGGCCCGTTCACGACCAAATCACGTTTTTATCGGATTTCGAAACGAACGAGGAACGAGCTTCTGAAATTTCTCCAGATTTATACTCGTGAAAAATGTCTAGTTTACATTTTTTTTTTTTTTTTTCCTCTCCCCCATCTTATTCAGAGCGGTTCTCACGAATTTTTTAACTCGACGAGCAAATATTGGGATAGGATGCTTTTTAACGAGTGTATAAGTCTGTTTATACTCGTTCTTTCCACGCTCGAATAATTCGGAATTTGGATCCGTCCGTGGTGGGAAAATATTTCGTCGCGAACGATTAAACTCTGTAATGCGAAATCAACTAGCCGCGGAACGAAAAGAGGGATGATCTACTCGAATTACTTCGATTCACCGATCTTTCGTCGACGAAAGCGCCCCTTGCGTGGAAAATATCCGAATTTTTTCGAATATTACATTTTAACCCCCGAAAAAATACTCGGAATATTATTGAAACGCGAGAGGAATAATAATATCGCCTCGTTGAATTTTTAATTTTTCTACTAAATTTGTTCGTATTAATATATATATATACGTATTACGATCAAATTTTCGTGGTTGAAAAGTCGTTGCAATTATTTTTTAATTTCGTTGTGTTCTGATAGACAAAATTTCGTGGAAAATTTTATACGTACAACACTGTCAAAGCTGCCTCGTCGCGATATGGTAGTCGACTCGAACGACAGGTTATACAGTTAGAACGGAGCGCGTGCAGTCGAACCGTTCCAGCTTTTGCAGAAACCTGTACGATAAATCCGTTGGCGCACGTGGATTCGCGTGATTCGCCGAATGGCAGCTTGCACCAGAAACGAAACTTTGCATTTGAAACAAGTTTAGAAACTAGTTCGTAGACGTATAACACCGACGGCTCCTCCTTTTCTATGCGAATCGTCGAGAATTTCACGAAACGATTCCTCTCAATCCTCCCGATAGATTCTCGTATCGTATTCCACGCTTCGTATTCGCGATAAAAATTCGTCTCGAAAAAATAACGTTGCGTTAACGAGAAAACTCGAGAAAATCGAAAGAACCGAATTTCTCCTTTTCTCAAATTGTCTCTTCGACGAGATGAGGGAGAAAAAGGAATGAAACAAAAGGATCGTTCATCAATTCAAAAGGGGAGGAAAGGAGAGATCGTTTTATCACGTAGTTTATCTGGCGCCCTACAGAAAGAGTACTACCGCATCGTGCATCAGAAAATCAATGCAGCGGTCCACCGGGATATTAATCCAACGCGACCGGTCATCGACGTTTGATCCATTTTTCCTCAGGAGTAACTAGCAAATAAATTTCCCTCCCTCCGCCCTCATTACGTTCACCCTTCGACCTGGCAATCCTTCCTCCCTGACCTACGTCCTACATCCGACCGTGCCCCCGTTCTCCCTCCCCCTTCTCTCCTCCGTTTTTGTTCTCGCCCCAAAAACTGGTATCGGGGTTGCAGATGGAAAATATTCCCTTTAATGTCGCTCCGCTCCTCCGCTTCCTTCCTTCCTTTCTCCCTTCTCCCCCCACCCCTTATTCTTCGTTTCTTTCCTATCTATTCTCTCTCTCTTTCTTTCGTATCGTAATTTCTTTCGTTAAAAATTGCTCGATTTTTTTTTTCTTTTTTTTTAATACCGTTCCAATATCCGATCTTTTCAATTGTTATATCGACTCGTTGATTAATTTTCTTTTTTATTTTCCTTTTTTTTTTCTTCCTTTCTTTTGCCGCAGGAATGTTCACCGTCGTGAATGGACGGCCCACATTTCAATACAGTTTGCAAGAATGGAGGATCGTGGCCACCCATTACGGTGGATTGGCTGGTTTAACTTTCGTTGGACTCCTTTTGGCTGCGATTTTACCATGTGTGGGCTTGTTCTTCTGTTGCTGTAGATGCGCCGGCCATTGCGGTGCCAGGAGTCAACCGTTCGACAAGAAACACGATCATTGTAGGAAAGTGTTGTTGAGTATGGTGCTGATAGCGGTCGCTACTATTATTCTGTAAGTATTCTCTCTCTTTTTCCATTCCTTCCTTTCGTTTCAAAGAGGACAAAGATTTATCATCGATTTATAACCAAATAACCCCCCTTCTCCTCGAACGATAACTTCCTCTCCTCGTTTTAATTTCCCCATCCTCGATACTTCGAAATTCCCCTTTGCACTAGCTCTGATCGAGCATCGATATCTATTTCAAAGAGAGTTTCGAACGAGTATCCATATCGATAAATAATTATTCAACTACGAAGCGAGTCGTATCGAAACGAGGAGCACGATACGCAATCGAGACAGATTTCCAATTCGTTTATTCCGTTATACGCGGACAAAGGCGCACGATTCCGACGGTTGGTTGCAGGTTCGGCGTGGTCTGCGCCTTTGTGACGAACGAGTACATGCAAGACGGGACCAAGGAGCTTCCCAACAACGTGGAAGTTAGCCTGAAAGACGTCAAGTTGTATCTGAGCAGCACGAAGCAGGAGATCAATAACATCCTCAAGACTAATTTCGACGAGCTGGAGATTAATTTGAACAACATCCTCCAGGCAAGTGGCAGAATCGTGACCGAACAACTCGCGGAGTACTCCCACGCAGTCTCGTTGACCAATCTAAGCGATATCGTGGCTGGGTTGGAGTCCATCAAGGAGGATCTCAAAACAATGCAGACGATCACCCGCGATCTAAGGACGAACGCTAGTCAACTGGACATCGGTATGGACATCAAAAAAAAAAATATATGTATAAATGATACATTCTGAGAAAAAAGAATATATATATTTCTACTCGTTCCAGTTGTACGAGGCGTTAAGAACAATCTTCTTCACACGCTTGCGGCATGCAAGACCCAAAATTGCAAACAGGTGTTGCACGATTACAAAGTGAATCAGATGTCGGTTCAAGTAGACTTCGACAAGGTATTTGTCCGCTTTTCTTGTGCGCTCGTCGTCAACATTCATACATCATCGATTTAATCTTCTTTCTCTTTTACATGCATTCAGTACATGGACCGATACTTCCCGAAGGTATGATAATTATTGTTAACGTAGTTAGTTGTTTTTTTTTTAACACTCCTTCGATTTATTCGCGTGTTCAATGGCGAAGAGATTAGAAAAGTATTACCGCATCGATTCGATAAAATACGCTACTTTCTTTTTGTATATTCTCCTTTATTTTCTTTCATCATGCTAATCATGTATTATAACCTTATAAGAGAAGGAAGATGAATCTTAATTTATTTGATTGCTTTTGCTTTTTTAATTCCGTATCCAAACAGTAGTAGTAGACCAATGGAAATTAGATAATATATTTCTAATATAGCATATAGTAATTTATTTTCTTATGGATATCCAACCATTGGTTTACGAATAGAATTATTGTATAAACTTATCTGATTCCATGCTTACCACCAAATAGCTTCAGTCTGTAAGTCATAAGCATGTCAACTTTTCGATTCTGTGTTACCGTTCATTATGTGTAGTATCGTTCATTCATAAACCTATGTATTAAATGTCACGTTTAGAATGATCCATAAATTTATCATACTTGACTCGAGGAAAGGGGGATTAATTTCGTTTTTTTTAGGCCAACTTTACCAATGTGCAAAGTAAACACACATAAAACTGGAAAAGAAAGAAGAAAGATGGAGAAGGAATGACATATTTTTTTTTTTTTCCCTCCCCCTATAACTATGCACAATTTCTTTTGTCTCCGCTTTTGAATTGAGATCTGTCCAAACACATCTTCGATATACTTTTATTTCCAAGCCGTGCACTCTTTGCATTCTCTATCAGTCCGTGACGAATAGCTTTTTAACAGAGATATTTGGATACATTTTCAATGCACTTTATATATACACGACACGCAATCCCATTGATCTTTTAACATATCATTAACATATATGGAAATCGTCCATTTAAACGGATACTATATAACGCATGACACTGTTTTTCATATCGATACCTCTAACTGTTCCACGCTCACTCGTCTTCTCGTTTAATGTGTCCATTCAGGCATCGTAATCGTTTATATTATACTTGCGAATGGACAAACATTCATTCTGGTCCTCGATATCCCGATATTAATAACCATTTGTATCGAACGATCGCCCGTTGCTACTTTTTTTCCAGTTGCCAAACGTCACGTCCGCCTTGAACAATATCACGATGCTGATGAAGGACAACATCGTGTCGGAAGTGAGCCAGGGTAAAGAGTCGTTTCTGAAAATTCAGAAAGACATTCAATACGCCGTGAACCAGACCATCCCAGTGGTCAGCGCGAGCATCAGGAATGCCGGCGATTTTCTGGCCGACCTCGCGAGAAACATGACAATGCTCATCGACAGGATAAACAACGACATAGACAAGGTGTACATGAAGCAAATAGACGTTGCACGGACGAGCATCGATCAGTATTCACCGTACAGGTAATGAAAGAGAAGAGGAGCGAAGAACATTTCAGAGTCCGATAATTAGACAAATGTATTTTCCCTCCAGGTACTATCTGGGACTCGGGATATCGGGGATTTTATTAACGGTCCTAATGTGTCTCACCTTCGGTCTTTTCTGTGGCATTTGTGGAAAACGGCCAGACGGTTACGGGGACGATTGTTGCAACAAAGGATCCGGAGCACGATTTCTCATGATGTAAGCTCATACCATTATCCAATTCTGGATAATTAACAATTGACGGACAACAACAATGGTCGTGCTTTCATTTCGAACCAGGGCTGTTTGGATCATCTTCCTTCTGACCAGCATTCTAATGGTGATCACGGTAATACACATGGTCGTCGGCGTTCTGGCGCAAAGGGCTGTCTGCGAACCTTTGAAGAACCCACAGGATAACAGGATGTTCGCTCTGGTCGATGAAATCGTACAGATAAAAAAGATACTGTACCCCAACAAACCCAATGCCGATGTGAACATGAGCTATATCATAACGTAAGTACCCGACATTAGCATAACCTCAAAAGATTGCTGTCGAAAATTTCCAACTACGTGTCCAATCCAAATCTGTTTTTCTTTTTTTTTTTATTATCCATCACAGAAACTGCCATCGAAACGAAACGTTGTACAAAGTTCTCAAATTGAATTATCTGTTCGACGTGAACACGTTGCGCGAATACACGGGTCGCTACGACATCAACAACACGATCCAACAGCTTCGACGCAAGATCAGTCTCTCGCCCGGCGTGGTTATCCTCACGGAGAGCGCAAAGTCGAAATTGAACGATCTCGCGCAGAGCGGCCTCAGCGATATCAAGTTCTATCAATACGTGGAGATTCTCGCTGATAATATCACGAATATCAACTTGGAACATCTTGCCAAACAATTGTTGGACGTGTCAACGGAACTGCCAAAGGGGCAGGATGACATTCGAGCAAGTTTGGAGAAAAACGCACTTGATTTGGCGTATTATCACGAACATTTGGTGAGGCCAATGGCGATGCTCAGCGAACAATTGGCAGCCAAGGCTGTGACCCTCGAGGAGAAGATAAAGTTTAATCACAGTTCGATGGCAGAGGCCATTCACAATCTCGTCGACGAAGTGACGAAGGCGCAAAAGTTTTTGAACGAAGATGGGCCAGAATACGTGCAACAAGTAAGTTTCGTTAGCACGAATTCTTTGGCTTAAGCCGTTAAAGACATTATCGACGATAGACATTCCCTGCTCGACATTGTCTATAATTTTAAATTTAAGTTTGAATAAAAAATCGTCAGGATTCCGATGGTCTTTTAATCTTGCAGCTGGCTACTAAATTTGGGAACGCTTTCCTTCGTCAAGTGGACGATTTCCTCGAGAGGGTTATCGATCACGCTTTGTTCCACGTAGGAAGATGCACGCCTGTTTCGAACGCGTACAACGCCACGCTGGTCGCTGGATGTAGCAAGATTTTAGATCCATTTGTAAGCGATTAATTTTCCTCCCAATCTCTTTGTCCCATCATCGAGATGCTGTTACATTTTATCTTTTCGTTTATGATCCGCAGAATGGTTTCTGGGTGAGTGTAGGCTGGTGTTTAATCCTCTTCATCCCGACCATCGTGCTCTGCGTAAAACTGAGCGCGCTCTATCAAAAATCGGATCCTTATCCAGGACCCCTGGTCGAAGCGTAAGTTTCCGCCATTTTCATTTAACAAAAAAAAAAAAAAAAAAAGAATTGACTTCATTTAAACCCAATCGATGGACTCAACGCTATTTAAATGTTTCCAAAATATAATATAGATATCCGGTGCATGTTTCAATTTCAAATTCCCAAATTTATTGTTATTGAGAAACCGAAATTAATCATCATCGCTTATTGGATGTTTATTATTAAAGAAAGAGTATATAAGTTCTCGATTCGAAATTATCTCGTGAAACGGAAACAAACAATTGGCAAACAATTGTATTTTGGCTATCGTAAATCGTAGAAGAACAAAATTGACTCGTTTAACATTCACATTTTCGGAAACAATCGCTTTTATGATTTCTTCATGAGCTGATCTCTGGCCACCAAATTCTGAGCACTCTTTATGTAGAAAGTGTTGAGCCTTCTTCTGTCTTCAGTCTAGTAGTTAATCGAGCTTCCTCATTATCCCCAGCATGCACATTACTCGCGCTTGCGATATCTTTCCGTTTTCTAGTCGGCATGAATTATTCCATCTACGTTTTTGTCTAGCGAGTTTCAAAATTGCATCGCCAATTCTATCTAAACAAATCTCGCGCGAATATTATAAACGCGTGACTCACCATAAATATACGGCTCACTATCTCACTTATTCCCGATTTTCATTTCTCTCGACGAGTGTGAGCTATCAACTAATCATTCTGTCGCGTTAATTTTTTTTTTTTTTTCTCTCGTGCAAGAATAAATCGCGAAATTAAAGAATAACAAACGTGTTTCCTCCCCTAACAGGGGTTCGATCGTCTGACATTTGTAACCAATTGTATTCTCTTGATTTAGATTTAGAAAATTTAGAAATCGATGAATCCTCCTCGGATTCGTCTTTGCGTAACGATGACGTAAAGATCGTCAGACGATCGTACCTCCTCATTATCTTACCAATGCCAGTAGATCATATTAAATTAAAAGTAGCTGTCTAATGTGTGGAATGGTTGTTGGAATCTAACCGCTAACACGCTCCGTTCCAGTGAATATTTGTATGACGCGTATGCAGACAGGGATAACATACCCCTTACCCAGTAAGTATATAAAACAACAAGAACAGCCAAGTTGCTCGCATGCTGAATTATTATGTGTAGCACGTTCGTAAATCCCTCGATAATCGCTGTGAACGCGACACGTAATTCGTTCATTTCACGATCCAATGCTCGGATATCACGTTTTTTTTTTCTCTCTCTCTCTCTTCTCTCTCTCCTCCCTCCCTCATGATCATAGAGTCGAAAATACTAGAGTCGAAAGAAAACGTTTAGAGTGATTTGGTTCGTCGATTATTCTCTTTATCTGCATGGTATACAGCCCTTAATTCTAACACACAGCCCACAATTCTATCTTAGACAACATATTGTAGGATCAGAGGAAATGAAATTGTAAGAGAGAAACGAAAATTTTTATTTTAAAAAACTCTTTAAAACTTAAGATCCTACAGTATTCGATTATTTAGTAGATATATATATATATATATATAAATCTCCAAAATCTAGATTAATTTTCCGCCACTCGATCTTCGTGTCTGACATCTTCTCGACTTGGAATAAATTACGTCAAAATTACCTTATGAAAGTGATCGTTTTCTGTTCAAATTATTATCCCATGTCAATGTCGAGAAGGTATCAAACTTTTAGTATTACTAACGCTCGTTATATATACTATTTTTCCTTGGAGCTTGTAACTAACAATCGCGCAAAAAAGGAAAAAAAGAAAAAGAAGAATCTCTCTACACGCACACATTAATAGCAACACGGAAAGGCTAGCCCTCGCCTCGCGTGTACCAACCTATCTAGGATACATTAATGATACACACGCTGGAACAGCTTAGCAAACATAGTACACCGATATACTTTTCTAACTCGCATGACGAGTGATGACGATCGAAACAGTCGTAGATCGAAACTCGAACGAAACTGAAACGTTCCTTTTTTCCTTGCAGCGTTCACGACAAGAAATACGTGTCGCATAGCAGAGATCCTTACGCAAAATACGAAAGCTACGACGGCCCCGCGGGTGGATACAGCGATCGGGAAAGGGTACCGGAAGCGCATCAGAGCACGTCCCACTATCACCATTATTCCAGATATTCCGACGTGGCGCCGAAGTAAGTGTTTTGTGAATTCGAGTCACGATCTATCAGGCTATCATCAAAATTATCAATTTTGAGAAAATTTGTAATATAAAAAAAAAAAAAGCGAGAGGACTATTCTATAACGAAATTTTCACATATAGGATAACGTAGA